AGCTTTAGCTGAAAATTGCATGAAACTTCCAGGAGGAATATTTTATGCTTGCTGTGCAGACAATGGACAAATGGCCGAGGAAAGCCAGATCGACTCAGTGGGGAACCAGGAAAATCTCCACACCAGCCTCCGGATTTCAGACAAAGAGGCACAAAAGGTAATTTTTTATCTGCCGAGCAGCATCTAAAAGGCATCAAGCGGGAGCGGCTTTTCACGGCTGAGAGCGCAGATGGAGTGATGAATCAAGCTGGGATGATCATCAACAACACACCACTGCTCTTCTGCCTTTCAAACAGTTCGAGTGTAGCTTTTCACTAAGTTGGATTTTCTTTTCTTTTTTTTTGCCTGAATTAATCTCTCTTCTAGCATGCTTCTTAAAAGTGGGATTCTGTACAGAGCTTAGCCATTGCATTTCTAGTATTTCTTCCTTTTTTTCAGCATTTTTCCAAATTCCTGCTGTGGCGATCAATAGCGTTTGTCATTTGTTCTCCTTGTTGGCTTGTCTCCCCACATTTTCAGGAGGTCGGTAAATTGGTCTTGACTAGAGTCAACCAGAATCATCAAAAGCGAATCCATTCAGAGGACAATGAATTGTTCCAGCAAGAAAAATCTTTTGCAGCTTAATATTGAGAAACATTTCAAGACAGGCAAATAAAGCATGAATGCAACAAATGAAATGTATTTAACCCCCCCAAAAAACACTAGATGAGCACGATTTTCTGTTCATGTGTTGACAATTTTTGTGTTGAAAAAGGAAGCCTAGACAGAATATATCAAATGGTTAATCTCTTTAAAATAATAATAATAATAATAATACTATTTAAAAATGTGGCAGCAACGAACTTGCTAGTTGGTTGCTTGTGGCATTAGGAGGCGGGACATTCTCATTCAGGGAGCATTTGATTGGTCAAAAATCTGTGTAATGCAGGATGAGTCATCAGTATGTTTTGTTTTGTTTGCCCAAAGGAAACGACTGTAAATTTTAAAAGAAATAATGACAGCTAGTGGCTGAAAAATATTGTTTCTCCCGCCCCCTCCTCAGACTCAATGCTCATGCGGGTTGCCAGATTGAGGACACGCAACACGAACAAGCGCAACTGACAACGGAAGGCGACGAACCTTACACTGTAAACTGATGAGTTGATTTATCTGCTTTTTAATATGCCTGTGGTCATAGAGCTTTTTAGATGGATGTCGAAACTTTTTAGGTCGGGTAGACTGCAATCTTTGACCCAGTTCGTTTGCTCGCTTCCATGACTGCAGTATGCTGTGTTTTCCAACTGGCAACCCAGGCTGTCTAAAATATTACTGGGTAAACTGTAAGTGGGCGGAATCACACAGACCAAAACAAAAACAGACATTCCGACACAGAACTCACATTTTTTAAAGTAGATTAACTGGCTGTAGCACTGTTTTTCTGAGAAACAAGTATGTGAACTTATGTTTCCTGAATATCTGCAAATTATGGTGTTTTTATGCTTTAGTACAGTCAAAAAATGACAAACAGCACTTTAAAATGCTTATCTGCTCAAAGTGGATTTTGTCAACGTTTTTTTTTACTACACTATTGCAAAGCTAAAAGATTATGTCTGGAATTTTTTACATTTTAACAAATTATTAAAAATGCTCAATTTTAGGATGTTTTTTCCAAATTTGTTTAAATAGAAATATTATTACAAAAAACTATTTTGGTTGCACAGGTAAGGTGATTCTATCAAATAGTACCAAGGTAATTCACCATATTCATGTACTGGGGTATATAAAGAACACCAAGGTAGGCTACTTCAAAACCAATCTCATGGTGTTGACAAAATAAATGCCAATAAATTTGTGATATTGATATGTTATAATATGTTATTCTTGCTTTCGTTGTTTGATAATGAACATTGGATCATTTTGAGAATCAAATTAGTGTTTTTTATCGTTTTCATTCATCTGTCGTAGCATTCATCTTTCAACTCAACAGAATTATAGTTTCTATTCAAACTCAGAATTTAAATGAGATTCTGAAATATGGTGTTTCTGAAAGACTGTTGCTCATTAAGCAGTGATGATGTGAGCAGAAAATGACAAAACTCATTATGGTGTTAATGTAATATAATGATTATGTGTGTTTTGACCCCTTTTGACCCTGGATTTGAAGAGCGCTATTTCTGTGCTGATGTGTCAGATGTGGCTGAATTTGGAGAATATGAACCTTTCAGTTGTTCCAGCATAATGATGTTTATAGACTTAATTCTCCGTGTTATTTAGCAGTTTTAATGGTTCATAAGGCAGGAAGGAGGCCAAACTCAACTGGGCAACAGCTGACAGTGTGAGTGTGTGTATGTGTTTATGCATAGTGTGCTCTGCTAATAGACAGACAGATGGCGCCATCTACTGACTGAAAATCACATGAAAGAAATAATAATAAAAAAAATCTAATTCAAAACCACACAATTAGAATGAGAAAAACGCTGAAACCACTATATGGTTAGTATAAAACAATAAGGAAGCCCCTTCACAAGGGAAATACATTTTTTATTACACTAAAGACTAGCACATATTAATTATAATAATGCAACATTAGCAGTGTAAATGCGAAGGTTCTAACAACAAAAAAAGAGATTTAAAGATTAAGTGCAGCATAGATTATATTTAGAGTATTTAAACTATCACTCGACAGAGGCTAGTAACTTAACAACTAAATGTTGATTTGTAGTTATTTACAAACATTTAGTAAAAAATTACAATCTTCTTTGATTAAAAGGAGTTAACCTACTTGTCATGCTAAAAGTATGACAACGGCATAGGACATGAACTGAAAACAATGCTATAGGTATCAAACTTGTTGAACCAGCTAAATTAGAAATATGATTCATATCAACACTATGTTGAAGATTTGAGCTATAGGCTAGAATGGTGAGTGTGATTTGACCATGTACAACATGTTCCATTGGAACATCATTCCAATCAACCAATCAGAATTGAGAGATACCTTTTCAGGAAATGTCCGTTTTAGGCTTACAATCAGGATTAGGTGCTTCTACACCCTTGTTAATCAGCTATCATTTCCCTCTGATTTTAGGAATAAATTATGGGTAAGGTTAGGTTTAGGGGTAGGGATTGGGTTAAGTCTGTATTTTTGGAGAGTAATGTTGATCCAGGAACATGTCTTACTTGGCAAAATCGCGGCGACCAGGCTAGACTATAGACACACTCTTCTGCAGTTAACAGGTTTATTATATTGCATCAGCTATAACTTTTAACACTGCACTTAACCATTGGTGTAAACCACGCTTTTATCCTCAGGTGAAGTGGAGTAAGCCATGGCTGACAACTTTTGAGTTCAACCTGGAGCGAGAATTCCCCTCAGTGGGTTTGGTGGGGCAGTTATTTGGGGTTGTTTATATATACTTCTTTAGCTGGTCAGGCTGGGAGACCAGCTTAAACCAGCTAAAACCAGCCAACCAGTTTAGGCTGGTTTCAGTAGGGCCTTAAAAAAGACACTGAATCGCCAGCCTCATATCCACGTGCTTAGATTTTGCACGTTGTTTTAGCGTTTAAGGGGGGAAATGTCAAATGGTGACGGAAACACTTGAAAGAAAAAAAGAAACCGCCATTCTTACCTTACTTTGACAACGTGAAATAATCTGAGGGTGAGCAATGCTAGAGCCTTTGTGTAAACATGTCGCTTGCTTCGTTCGTCCAATCAGTGACACCGACACCGCTAATATGCACATGAGAACGTTAACCCGGGGTTTAGCCATGTACCGTGTGAACGTCAGTTTAGTAATACCCAGGATTAACTGTTAACCCGCGGGAAAACCATGGGCAGCCTGAAAGTTAAACAATATACAGTATAACCCAAGATTCCATCTGGGTTTTAGAAAGACCCAGGGTTAACTATTTCGGGTGTGAAATGACTATTGACTAAATTAAAAATGTGTACAATTATGGGCCAGTCAATATACTGTTTATTAAACCTTAAACACTAGTAATTAAGTTTAAGAATATAGCACAAAATGACTCTTGCCAGCCACATTGCAATACTTTTCTCACTGTATATAAGCCTTAAACTCATTTACTGAGTGAATTCTTTACAGAGAATGTTGTATTTACTTTCCTGTTGTTTGCCATATCTGTTTATGTCAAATCTGGAAAATGTGTGCAATGAAACTGACCAGGAAATCATGCTAAACTGAAGCCCTGTGTGGAAATCACTGAGCTAAAGAGTGAGACATATCTGATGATGGGTCACTACACTTTGTGATGGAAGAGAAAAAAATTTGCTGATCTGTAGGAAGTCCGTAAAATACTGTAAAATAAAAATCAGCTGATTAACTTTAGTATGCTAAATCACCATTGATCCTTACTTGCTTTAGGGGCATTTCGTAACTCTATTACATCATGTTTTTCATGATGTCTACATCATGTTTTATGTAAAAGGCAAAAGTTAATCAAAAAATTAACAAGGATGAAAATAGAGAAGATAATTTAATTACAAAAGAGCCCAAATCACATCCAATCAAATGCAATTAAAAAAGGGAATGAATGAAAGGCACACTTCGGGAATCATTGAAATTATGCACATTAAATATTGATAGTGATACTTCATGCATTTCAGTTTGACAGTATTTGACAGCATCAATAATCAGTTAATGTATTTCAAGAATACGATGTCATCAACGCTGTCATACCCCTTAAATGTTCAAGTTGGAAATCTGAGAATGCTGATATTGGATCCACATACCTCAAGATGGCTTGCTGTTTTCACAGCACATTAAACTGTTACCATTACACAATGCAGAATCACACCCATTGTATATAAAAAAAATGCAGGTTGAGACTCACAAAACCTCAGTTAACATGCCGAGTAACACTAAACGCAGAAGCACATCTACATTTGGAACCAACATTGTGTGGGAATGTTTAGTCTCTAAAAACGTAATTCCTTTTATTTATGCAAAAAATCTTGAAACGGTACACTGATGAGTGGTCAGGAGTGACGCCAAGTCATAAAATACCATGTTTTGCTGTTTCTAAACCCTAAAAATCAAAGTGCATCTCTTACATATGCTGGTATTTGGCAGAATCACTTATTCCATAATTCACACCTGTACAGTCCCAGTATAGTAATGAAAGAAAGACACAAAGAAAAGATAAAAACAAAAGCAAGGATATTTGGAAAAAAAAAAACATAATATCTATCATAATTTGACAGTACCCCTAAAAAATGACAAATTTAGATAGTCCAAACAATATAATGGTCCCATAAATTAGCAAACAACTTTCAGACTTTTCAGCGTTGGTGGATTGTAAATGAGGGCCAATCTTTTACAATATTAATTATTAACATGCGTCAACTCAGACAAGAGTTTCAAACCCCTAAAAATTATGCATAAATAACTTTGGCACAAAAACACAGTTTTGACCTTCTGCCACAACAAAATGTATGACCTTCCAAGAAATGTCCAAGAAGATCTATTTGGTCATATCAGTCCAAAATATATCTAGTTTAAACCTACACATTCAATTTAATCGTGGAAAAAGGCATCCAAGCATAGTGACTAGATCCTCTCATGGCTGTAGAAAATGACAACAAAATCATTCAACAACCATTTTGGTGGAAATAATGGGATTGTCTTCATCATATAATATTTCTGGCAGTATCAAACACCCCCAGACATTCATCTGTTGAAAGAAGCAGAAAAGAAAAGCTGTTAAAAAGCAGGTCAGACAAGATACTATCTGAGGTATAGATTTCCAACATCACAGTCCAAAGTCTGAAGCTGAGCAGAGACCGAGCGTTATTTATGTCAATATTTGAAGATCTGGTAGGATAATCTAGTGTTTGACTACCTTCTTAAAGATTTGGCTTCATAAACAGTGGTATCGTCCTCGTCGCTTTCTAGGTGGGCCATTTCCATTGTGTCGTCATAGTTTGACAGGAGCCCGTATTTCTTTCTCTTAACACCTGTTTTCTTCAGACTGGAATGAGAGCACAAATCAGAGACAATGTACACTTGAAGAAACAAACTAAAAATACAATTAATCTATTCACCTTCTTATGTCAGCCCCTAAAGTAAACACATTGTTGTTGTTATTGTAAGTAACAGTTAGGGTGACCAAATGTCCTTTTTCCCTGAAATGTTTTGGCTGGGATCTTTAAATTGCGTAAAATATCCAGGGTTTGCCTTTGTTTTCCTATTGTTTACATACTTGCTGAAGGTAATGACTCGTGGGGTGCGAGAAGGCTAGATAGATATTGAACGGTCAAAGCAATAAAAATAAGCATACATATGATGTATGAGGACTAGAGGTCGACCGATAGTGGATTTTGCCGATACCGATAGCTAGGTTGGACCACACTGGCCGATACTGATTAATCTACCGATAGTTTTTAAAATGGATACTGAAC